CCCCCCCCCCCCCCCCCCCCCCCCCGGCACGAGCGCCCCCATAGCGCTGTGCAGAGGTATAGTACAAGAGTGCGTGGAAGGTCATATTCACAATGTCGCGCCAAGCACACCAATGAAGTGCTACCAGCACACGGTACCCTCCTAGAGGCATCTATGTCTACCAGCGCAGTGCCCAGTATTCGCCTTCCTCAGTTGTTGGAAAGCAACTGAGGTCATGCCCACGCCTGTTACGCCTGTTAGGTACAGTTCTATAAAACTGCCCTGTCCCTCGTCGGTGACTACACCTGGCAGGAGGAAGCAAGCAGTAAATACTGGTACTGTACGACACATAGCTTCTCGCCGCTGCGTGAATCGGGCCATAAACACCGTCATCAGATCTAAATTTGATAGAAGAACACGTTGTGAGCGTTGATTGGTTGTGGCGTAGAAAGCGCATTGTACAGTTTTAGACATCGCAGTCATGCTTTTGACGCACTTGAATTCATGACGAGTCGTCGGTACAATAGTAGTCTACTGGTGTGTGACCCTCGTATTGGGCGAATGACATACATACTCAAGGCCAATGTCGTCATGGACAAAGCCATCGCTCCTTCTTGAGCAAAGGGCACCGAATCACGCTCATAATTTCCGGTCATCTCGCGCTATCAGGAACATTTTTGCGAAACTTCCCTTCAGCGCTTCCTCAAGATAGCTTCGCCTGCTTTTGAGCTTTACTTTTCTCTTCTTGCCGGTAAGCGCACAGATTCCCTACAAGGAGGACTTCCTTCGCACAGCTGCCCTGAAAGCGTCTGCCTCGGATGCTAACCTTTCCCCCTTGCTCTTTCGTCGTGCCCCTCTCTCGCTGTTTTCAGGCCTCCCAGTTTCGTCGAGTTCCAAGCGCCAGAAGACACATATCAAGAATGGTTGCCCGAGATGTCAAGAAGCGTGTCGTTGCTGTTGAACAATCTGAGGGGGTGGGGGCAAGGGTTCGCCGAAGTATCGGACGCCCAGAGTTGCCAAACCTAGACCCCTTTTTATTGCTGGATGAATTTTCTGTTAGCAAGCCAGCAGGCTTTCCGAAGTAGGTGTATGGTACTTTTTGCGTTCTAAGCGTTTTAAGTGAGAGCGGAGCCATTGAGCCTGACAGCCTCTCGTCGACAACGTTTATGCGAATTTGCCTTTTTGTTGTCTTTGCTCGACAGCCATCCGCATCGGGGAATGCAAACGGTAAGTTTAATCTCTCAATGGATAGAGAGGTCTAAGTCTAGAAGTCTGGGCTTGAATATTGCATTTCAATCAAATAGTCTAACATTTTGATGTTTTTCTCATTCATGGGAGCAAAGGTAACATACATGTTGGAGGGTGCGTTTCGACACGAGGACAACAAGGGACATGCAGGTACTATTGGAGTTGGAGACTTGCAATGGATGACAGCTGGCCGTGGAATTGTACACAGTGAGATGCCTGCTACGGATGGAAAGAATGTCGGATTGCAGCTGTGGGTCAACCTTGCCGCTAAGAGCAAGATGACAAAGCCACAGTATCAAGGTACGTAAGAACAGAACTTGCATCTACTCAAAAAAAGGCGTTCGTTTCGGAAGATTAACTTTTCATTTGAGTTTGTAACGTAGAACTGTTGGCTGATGAGGTACCTCTGGCGAGAAGCGATGACGGTTTAATTGAAGTGAATGTCATTGCTGGTAAGTGTCTTGGGGTAGAGAGCGCTGTGTTCACACAGACACCGACTCTGTATTGGGATGTGAAAACGGAAGGTGCGACAACGTTTACCGAGGAAGTGCCGGAGCACTACAATGCTTTCATGTATGTTCTGTCAGGCACGGTGATGACTGGTAAAGAGGGTGTGAAAGGAACACATGGGACATGTGTGGTTTTTGGACCTGGGGAATCAGTCTCCGTGACATCAGCGGGGAAAGCGAGGTTTGTGATTCTTGCTGGAGAGCCGCTTAACGAGGCGGTCGTCCAACATGGACCGTTTGTGATGAACACACGAGAAGAGATTATGGAGGCGTTCAGGGATTATTCCGACGGGAAATTTTAGTTTGGCTCATGAAAGAACCCATGCATCTGCATTTGGGAAATATCTTGCTCCCGCCGTGCGTCCTTTTTAGATTCCTGGCATTCCGCATACCAAATCGAGAAACTGAGGTTATGTGTTTGTCCGAACAGCACCGAGGACTTTCTCCCAGCTGCTTTTAGGCTATTGCACTGCATCATGTGATGCCAAGCTGTGCAGGGCCCCCTTTTCGTATGAAATATAAATGAAATCAGAAGTATAATCCGACTGCGAACGACGGCTCTTCTTCACTTCTGCCGTACCATGACGCTAACATTTTATGCAGCAGATGATTCCTATTTGAACGAGCGTGTTCTCTGCTTTCAGCCACTGCTAGGGACGACCGCATGTTCCAATACGATGAGTAGAGTAGAGTAGAATATCGAATTCTGAAGCATTTGATTTGAGTTTAGAGCATCTATACCGCATGACCGTATTATGTCTTGAAGTTAGTGGGTCAGTAAAGATCATTGGGAGCAAACTGGAATTTTACGAAATAAAATGATATTCATTGTTGTACACGACCATGCACAGATAAACATGACGGGCACAGGTACTGTACCCAAGGGTACCATTTTTTGCCTTGTCTCCCGGGTGCGTTTGACATTCGTGGAGGACATAGATGTATGTCAGAAAACGTTCTGGCGGCACTGAAAGCAGATACAATTGGACAACATGGCCGTATCTGACATGGGACGATGTCTGCACGAGCGTGCAGACACAGGGCTCTGTCTGCACTACCGTGCAAAACCATGATGTTGGTATCAAAGCTGGCTAGTTCATGCCATAGACACGCACTTTTAACCCTTATGAAAGCACCAAACGGTAATGATTGTGAACGTTAACAGTAAAATGACCACCGGAAATCGACTTAACATCGGACAACAACTGCAGTTGCCCACTACTGCTACCAACCAGTCGTTCTTCATTCTCATTTTCCGTTCCATCTAAACCACTATCCCATTCGCTCTTGACGCCATCATCAACCGCCGTTTCTGATTTATCATTAGCGATAATAAGAACAGTTCTCTTCGTATCGAGGTTTTGATCCTGAAACACCATTCTACTTTTTTTCTCCTTCGGTTCCAGCTTGTGAAAATTTTTAATACCTACGCTATCCCGTTTACCGGAAAAGCGTAGAATGTCATCCTGCTGCTTTTGGCCTGCTCCGCCCTCTAGGTTCTGATAATTTTTTAGAGACCGTAAATCGCGATGTCCAGTACGCATTGCGACGGACGAGTCAGCATGCCCAGCATCAATTAACAAAGTAGCAACCGTTCCACGCAGCCCATGTGTCGTCATTCCACCTTGAGACCCTGTCCCTGTAATTCCCTCTTTCTCACAGATAGACTTAACAATGCGCGAGAAGGTGTTTCGTCCTAGGTGCTGCCGTCTGAAGAAGTCACCGAACTTGGTGGCTTTTTGGTTGGCACCGAGAAAAAAGCGGTCAGTACCACAATCCATTGTCATTCTCACCTACATGGAAGCACTGATATCCTCAAAAATAGTCTTCAAATTTCTATCTAAAGAAGGACCATTCCAAACGCAAATTTCTGTCGCCTTTTCACGCGCTGTGTTCCATCCACCAGCATTCGTCTTTGAAGCTCCAATTCTACTTCCCACTGCAGCTCTTATTTTCCAAACTTCCTCCCCGCAGAGCTTCATTTTGGTAAATTGGCTGACGGTTAGGTTAACCAATGCGGTTGGTCGCATTGCAGTGATGACGGCAATGTCGAAGATGGGCCTGGCCTGGAAGCCGAGTGGGTTGTCACGTGACAAAAACGGAGAATTGTACAGCCGTTTGAGATCGTCGCTGGATAGGACGTTGTGGCTCTTAGGAAACACTCCGTTGGACTGCTGGAAACTGAATTTGTTATCGATCACGGCCATCAAACCATCCCTTGAGCAGTTAAAAAGATGCCCTTCAAGTAACTTTACGTGGTAGCCCCAATCTCTCGAAAACGATCGCTAGATGCCTATAATGTAGCCTTTTATAGTGCTTGGCTTGACTTCGCTTTCCAACTTGGTGCTCTTGTAGTTGACCACGAACTCTATTAAGTGAAATCGAATCTGTTTGAGTTGATCAACAGTCCAGTTAACATAGTCGCGGGGGGGACATTTCCCTTCCCCATCTCCAAAAAGTACCTTTTTAGTCTCTGACAGCTCCCATGCGACACGACGGTCTTTTTCGCTAAATGTATAGGACCGAAGGTGCTCCTCTGTTCGGAATGCATTATCAATAAATCCTGGTACAGGAGTGACGAATCGCGCAAAAGCGCGAAGGGCGGTAGAGTTAGCACGAAGGGTGTTCAGTGGAATTCTTACTCCCATAAACAGTTGAGCTGCGCAAGAATGGGGTGAATCGAGAGGACGGTCCTGGGCGGTAACGGTGTTTTCCGGATCATTGGCAGGGCCTGAAGAATTGGATCTGTTGTGGGGCGGGGTTTGAGGAACAAGCACCAGAGCCGAAGTGAGAGGATCGTCCACATTTGGTGGTGGGGTTCCTGGAACAAAGTCCATTTTGGTGGGTGTTGCCGTGGTAGTGGATCGGAGAAAGCTACGATCAAGGGCAGTCTGAAATGGTGATGGCTCGTGGTCCCCACCAATGGTGCGCGGATATCCATAAAGCCGAGGATATCCGCGGATAGGACGGATACGAATAACCGTAAATCCCTAACCGTGCCTTGAGCCAACACCACGGATTTATCCGCGGTTTACGGATTCGTTATAGATGTATACGGATAATATCCATAATCCGTGCTTTCTAAAACATTATTACGGTTTTCTTTTTAAAATCCGTGTATTATATTTACAACAACGGATATCCCAACCGTATCCTTCCATTTCAGTCGGGTGTCTCACGGATTGTAGGGCGGGAATACCTGGTAATCGTATCCAATCTGCTGCTGTATTTATCATATCATTTGTTCCAAACAATGCTGTTATAGCACACAGTCAGCACGTCGGCGCCGAATGTTTTCGACTGTGGACGTGCCGCGCCCTGTCCAACCAGGGCCACTTTCTCTGTCAGCAGAGGCCCAAGTTCGCCGCCCTCCTCCTACCACGACTGCAGAACAATTCCGCCTGCTAAGACATCGCCCCACCATGCCACGCCGTTGAAGCCTCGAATCTCGGGTCCCCTCATTGTTACTCCTCACACAATTGCCCCTTCCAATTCACCTCTCCCGACCCCTCACAGCCGCCCCCCTCCCACAATCAAAACCTATACATATGCCCTCCACCCTCCTCGCCTCCCCCACGCGCGCGCACTCCTTCCGCCCCCACCTCCGTCCCTTTCATCCCGTCCCCCCCTCCATGGGGCTCTCCTTGCCCATACCGCCCGTTCACCTCTATTCCTCCTTCAACTCTCCCAGCGCCCCTCTGCGCCGCGAGCTCGCCGTCCGCGGCGGGGCCACGCGTCTCGTCGAAACGGCGGCAAGCAATGATGAGCCAGTGGTCCTCCATCGGATGGAAGACCACTCGCCCATCATTTCGTGGATGGAGTCAATCCACGCAAACTCGATGCTCTCCAGGTTAGGGACGCGCAGGTCAACGGCGAATTTATTGAGGGCAATCCTGTCAAGATTGTCTCATATCTACGGAGAATTGGGCTCATTGTCGCCTCCCCCTTCCAGTCTGGAAGGAAAGGGGATGGATAGGAACGGGACAGCGCAAAGGGGTGGGAAAAAGAGCTACTGTAAGGTCGAGGGCAGCGGGCCGGCGCAGGGGGGCCTGCGCGGGCTGGGTTCTCAAAAAACATGGTAGACTGCGGCGGTGGGGTGTAGGAAGAAAGGGAAAGGAAGGGGGAGATGAAAAGGGAATGGGGGTTGGGAGGGGACTCAGATGCCCTGCAGGGTTTCGTTGATCTCTTCGGGGTCCTGCTGCAGGCTCTAGATATCGTCTTTAAAGGCCTTCATCTGCTTCTCGTTGCCGACGTTAAAGCTGGCGTCCTCCAGGACGTCGAGCTGGCTCTGGTTGACGACGACCCTCGTCTCGTAGCTTGCGATCTTCTGCTTGAGGCGGGTGGCGTTGGGCATGTGGCCCTTGGCGACGTTGATGTTCTCGTCGTTGCGGGCCTTGATGGCGAGCCGGGCCTCGCCGCGGCGCTCCTCCTCGAAGCCCTACCCCTTAAACAAGGAAGCTATGTGCCTCCGCCCGTGTGCCACTCGCTGCAGACGAAACATGTAGACATAAAGTTTGATGCGTATAAGACTTTTATTCGAGAATCAATCCGACTCAACTTCAGACACTTCCCCCTCCATATTTGCCTCTGCGTTAGCGAGTTCTGGTAAAGTAGAGGTTGGTGTGAAGGTTGAGGATGGTTCAGTATGCATATGTAACTCGTAGTTCTCATGTATCTGCATGACATTATCTAGATTTTCCGTCTTGATACGCGATCTCCGCTGGTTAGCTATAATGCCAGCAACAGAGAAGGAACGTTCGTTGTCTACTTGCGATCCCGGAATAGCAAGAAACGCGGTTGCCAAAATAAATACATGAGGATAAATGTCCCTCTTTCTACCAAACCATCCCATGGCATCCCCGAACTAATTATTCCCATCGCGGCTTGGCAGCCGCGGGTCATCCAGAGGTCGAAAGAGATAGAAACAAATCTTGCACTCCTGAGGTCGGCGACTACAGAGTGTTTAGTCTGCTTGGCCAAGGCCGGGAGCATGACCTCTGTAAACTTTTTACGGGAAGGGAGAGATAGACGAGGATCAATGTCACCCAAAAGCTTCCTCATCCACACACAGTCAACTACTGAAAACGGCCGGAGAGACTTGCAGCAAACTAATGTCATGTTGCTGATCAGATTATTCTGCATATCACTTGTTGCTGCATAAGGAGTAGTCTTGAAATGAATTCGAAGATCACTTATCTTTTTCTTCTTTTTGGGACGGTTCGCATTGGTTCCATGCAGATTAGCGACATATGCCGCATACAGGGATTTGTGCTTTACATTAACGTGATTGATAAGAGAGGAACTTCCATTCTTCCTTTTATACGCCATCTTCGTTTTGCATAGGGAGCAGCACAATGCGACAGAATCTGCAGTCATGTTCACTGCCGTATCGTAAAAGGCCCAGATTGGTGCTTTCTTTGTACCAGCAGATCCGTCGAGCCATGCAGTGGCATTCGCAAATAATGCGTCATGGCCAGGAGGAGCCTCCGAAGAAACGTTTGTGCTCGTTTCCATGGTCTCTGATGAGGGGATTAGGGACCCCTTCTTGTGGCGTCGGTAATGCCTCCACTCGCGCACCGCTCCCTGTATATTATTAGTTTTGACTGTTTTCGTGGATATCCGTGTGCGGTTTTTGGGGTTTTGCGCGGATAATCCGACAAACCGTGTTTCAAAAATTTGTCAATACGGATAATCCGGGAAACCGCTTTACGTGCTATGCGATCAACGGTTTTTTTGGGAAACCGTATCAATTTTCGAAATTGTAATATCGCGGATATCCTAAAACCGCTCGAGTCCAAAATGACCCAGGGATAGCATTTATCTATCCATCGATAGTGTCCAAAGGGGTATCCGCGCACCATTGGTCCCCACCACCGTCGTCCAATATTTTAATTTCCCTTTCCCAGCCTCGACGGTATCGATATGGCATATTTTGAATTACTTTTAGGCGGTTCTATCAAAAACAGAAACGATTTCGCGACATGGATGTCAAAACGCAGCCGGGAAGACAAACAGGTTGTCTCCCGTAGCTCTCGGGCTGACACCGGCTCTCGGGGTATGACATTCACCCTCGGCAAGCCTCGGGTGATTGTCATACCCTCGAGCCTTGTGTCATCCCTTGCAGCCGGGAGACAACCCACACATACTGTACGTGCTGTGTACGGTTCTGATCCTGTGTGGGCAATGCGCTAGACTGGATCACGCCTTTCGAAGAAATATCGTGTCCACGTTTTCAACGATTGCACGTTTGATCGCTCCGTTTCTCGTCGACCTTTGTCCAGCCACCCGTAACATGCTTCCCACCCGACAGCTCTTGCTCACCTGAGTTAAGTGAGGACGGAGCAAGGTTGGAGCCGTTCAGCGTCCCCAAAGCTTGGTGGTATATTGGTGACTTGCTTGATTCCAGTAGCTCATGAGGGTTTTGTGAGGAAACGTTGTAATTTTGTTGAATGCTTTACAAGACCACCCGTGGTTATTTGGACGACACCGCAGTCTTCTCGGTGGGATGGTTGTGAAGAAAGAGCCGGAAGAGAGGGTAGTACCGGTCCACGTCAAGCCAACCCTTTCAAGGCCTGGGTTTGGCCATCCGGAATTTCCGGTCAGCGCCCCTCAATTTGATCCTAAACAGTATACCAGAGAGCAGCTCCTGCAGCCGATTAAGACGGCCGAAGAGAAATGGCGTCTTATCCCTGCCTTTCTGCAGTTGCGAGGGATTGCGCGACAACACATTGAGTCTTTCAATTATCTCATCAACACTGAAATTCGCAACATAGTCCGGGCAAATGAGAAGATCGTTTCGGAAGTTGACCCGAGGTGGTACCTCAAATACGATGCAGTGCGAGTGGGTAAGCCATGCCAAACTGATGATATGATACGCACAGATATTACTCCCCACGAATGCCGTTTGCGCGATACCACATACTCTGCCCCGATCACTGTTGACATCAAGCACACTAGAGGTGATGATATTGTTCTGTCCAGAAACCTCGTCATTGGGAAGATTCCGATCATGCTTCGTTCGGGAAACTGCATCCTTTCGAACAAATCGGACAAAGAGTTGGCTGATGTAGGGGAGTGCCCTTTAGATCCTGGGGGGTATTTCGTTGTGCGCGGGACGGAGAAAGTTATTCTCATTCAAGAGCAGCTATCAAAGAATCGAATCATCATCGAGAACGATCAAAGAGGAATTACTGCGAACGTACAGTCCTCGACGCACGAGAGGAAGTCACGCACAACTCTTATTGTCAAACACGGCAAGATCTATTTGCACCACAATACCCTTGAAGCGGATGTGAATATTGCCATTGTGTTGCGGGCGATGGGTGTTGAAACTGACCAAGAAATCGTGCAACTAATTGGAACAGACCCGCGATATGTCGATGGAATGGCTCCAACATTGCATGAATGCGCACAGGAAGGTATCAATACGTCTACACAAGCGTTGCTTTTCATCGGGAAGAAAGCGAAGACGTTCCGAGGACCGGCCTTCGGGGGTAGACCTGGACCGAGGCCTTCTGGTCCGAAAAAAACGACGGCTACCTCTGCACCTGTAGATCAGAAACCCGGCTCTGGACCTGCCCCACATCCGAAGCAGAAGAGCATTGACCACGCGCGCGATCTCTTAGCAGGAGTTATTCTAGCCCACGTTCCTGTTAAGCACTTTGATTTTTGGGATAAGTGCGTATTCGTTGCTCAAATGCTCCGACGAATTCTGATTGCCATGGACGACCCGTCAACAGTAGATGATAAAGATTACTACGGAAATAAGAGGCTCGAACTTGCAGGGCAACTCTTGGCTTTGCTCTTTGAGGATCTTTTCAAGAAATTCAACACAGACCTGAAGCGCACGATAGATACTCATATTACGAAATCTCAAAACAAGGCCGCAAGGGATAGAAGCAGGAAGAGACTTGGTGATGGAGGAGATTTAGGGCGCTTTACTCAAAGGCCACAGGTTGATGTCACTAAGTATTTCAGGACAGATACAATCACCCAAGGCTTGGAATTTGCGATTTCCACGGGGAATTGGCATGTGAAGCGTTTCAAAATGGAGCGTTCTGGCGTGACGGAAGTCTTATCGAGGCTCAGTTTCATTTCTGCACTGGGAATGATGACAAGAATTACATCGCAGTTCGAGAAAACCAGAAAAGTGTCGGGTCCCCGTGCATTGCAGCCGTCGCAGTGGGGTATGCTGTGTCCAGCAGATACACCTGAGGGAGAAGCTTGTGGGCTTGTGAAGAACTTGGCGCTGATGACTCATGTAACAACAGACGACGATCCTGCCCCGTTAGAGCGACTCTTGTATGATCTTGGCGTCCAACCCACATCTATTTTGAGCGGCGAGGAAGTCAACGAGAACGACGTGGTTTTCCTGAACGGTTTGATCTTGGGAGTGCACTCACAACCACGCAAGCTTACATATCGTTTGCGAGAAATGAGACGAAAGGGATTTATTGGAGAGTATGTCAGTGTGTTTGAACAACCAGAGCACAAGTGGGTGCACATTGCATGTGACGGAGGTCGCGTCACGCGCCCTCTAATTATTGTGGACAGTGTTACAGGACAACCCAGGATTTTCGATGAGCATGTCAGCAGACTTAGGAAGGGACTTATGGTATGGCGGGACCTTCTTGAGGAAGGTCTTATTGAGTATTTGGATGTCAGTGAAGAAAACAACACACTCATTGCCACATATGAATCCGATATTCTCCCTGGAAAGACAACCCATATTGAGATTGCTCCATGGACCATCTTGGGGGTCTGCGCAGGTCTCATACCCTACCCCCATCACAATCAATCCCCAAGAAATACTTACCAATGTGCTATGGGCAAGCAAGCGATCGGAGCGATTGCTTACAACCAGCATATCCGGACAGATACGCTACTGTATTTGTTGAGTTACCCGCAACGGCCTCTGGTTCAAACGAAGACTCTAGAACTGGTTGGTTTTGAACGACTGCCAGGCGGACAAAATGCGTCTCTAATGGTAATGTCCTACAGCGGATATGATATTGAGGATGCTATAGTGCTGAACAAGGCATCTCTGGACAGAGGATTTGGCAGATGCATTGTGATACGGAAGCACTCTTCGGGATGTAGACGGTATTCAAACGGTAGCTGTGATCGGATAATGCCGCGAATGGATGAGGTCGGATCAAAAGACAATCCAGGAGCAGTTCGTCGAAACGAGAGGCTATCGGCCCTAGATAAAGATGGAATAATTGCCCCTGGAGAAAAGCTGGAGAAAGGAATGATTTTTGTGAACAAGGAAGTTCCTCAGGACACTACTCTCACTGGGGCTGCGGCAGCTGCTGCAATTATCATTGGGGGGCCACAGGAATATCGTCCCCAACCCTTGAGTTTCAAGGGGCCGAGCACGGTTGCTGCTGATAAAGTGCTACTAACCTCCAATGACCTCGACCACGTGCTTGTAAAAGTAATGCTCCGAGAAACGAGGCGACCGGAGCTGGGGGACAAATTCTCGTCGCGGCATGGTCAAAAAGGAGTCTGCGGATTAATTGTGACTCAGGAAGATATGCCCTTCTCTGACAAGGGCATCGTGCCAGACTTGATCATGAATCCACATGGTTTTCCAAGTCGAATGACGGTGGGCAAGATGATTGAATTCATAGCCGGAAAAGCAGGGGTCTTCGAAGGTAAATGTAGGTACGGAACAGCGTTCGATGGGGACCGCCTGGATGAGTGCGCGGAGAGCCTTGTTTCCGCCGGGTACAACTACAACGGCAAGGACTTTGTGTATAGTGGAATGAGTGGTGAGCCGCTGCGCGGATACGTGTTTTCGGGGCCAATATTCTACCAAAAACTTAAGCATATGGTGAAGGACAAAATGCACGCTCGGGCGCGAGGTCCGCGAGCGTTGCTGACTCGGCAACCGACAGAAGGTCGCAGCCGAGACGGCGGTTTAAGGCTTGGTGAAATGGAGCGGGACTGCCTCATCGGGTATGGGGCGTCGATGCTGTTGATGGAGCGGCTCATGGTTTCCTCAGACGAGTTCACAGTGCATGCTTGCAAGGAGTGTGGCTTAATCGGATACAAAGACTGGTGTCAAATGTGCGAGTCGGGTGAAAATGTGGCTACTTTGAAAATTCCGTATGCATGTAAGCTGCTCTTCCAAGAATTGCAGGCGATGAATGTAGTACCGAAGTTAAAACTCGGGCCTATGTAACATACACGGTATACTGCACCAAAAGAAGGCATTTGCGATCCCTTGCACAACGGAGATGCTGTGCGATATCCAGTGGAAGCAAATCTGAATGATACTCTCGGTGGGCGTTGGGGCGAGGGGGCGAATGATGGCTCATTCGCATCGTGATTTTCTTTTGCGTCGACTAAACGGGTATGGCATATCATGTGGGGCCACGGTACGATGACGGTTTCGGTGGTCTCCACCGAGATTGGCCGGAGATATCTTCGTTCATGTTTTGTGGCTAGCCCGGCAAATTACGTCCTACTACCAAGGGTAGGTGGCGTGGGAGTCGGCCTGCAAACTAAAAAGGTGGAAAAATATAGTAGAAAAATGACGGAGCGAATCACGTGCCGACCGGAGGTTTCTGCAGCTGCGGAATCGAGCGCTTGCGTTTTTGCCCCACTCTGCTGACGTGTTCCTACGGGGGCCGAGACTTGCCTTACTGAGATACAAGACCTCTCCTCTTGGCCAGCTGCCTAGCACCACCCAGCCAGGCGATATCGCCCAGTCCAAGTCTTCTCAAAGTCTTGTTCGCTAGCAGCGAAGCGTTGGCCGCTCCATTTTCTAATCGCACTGCCTGGACCTAACCGTAATCTCCCCATAGCAGAACTGCCAGAAGGTGTTCTTCGTTTGGATTTGATTAACAAAAAGCGTCGTCCAGCCGCTCCGCACTCTTCTTCACCACCCTCACGTGTGTAAAGGCCCAAGACACATCTCAAGAGCGACGTTTCTCAAGCTAAGAGATTCAGCTGCGGCACGCATACCAACTCTCAAAGAACGCTTTCGTTTGCCGTTTCAACCGAGACCTCTGAAAGTTTAAACATGCAAAAGTTCCTGGACCTCATCACGCAGTTCGACAATAGCGAATGGCTCATCGAAGAGAAAGAAATCACCTACGGCAAGAAACTAGGAGATGGCGCTTCAGGCGTCACGTACCTCGCTGATTACGCCGGTGAGAAAGTAGCTGTAAAGTCGTACTCCCCCGCCATTCTCACTCACGACACAAACTCTGTGAAGAACGAGATGGACATCATGTCCAAGATGAAGCACAAAAATATCGTGCAGTTCAGGGGCCTGTGCCTCCGCAAGGATCGCCCGGCGGCCTCCCTTGTAACAAAATTTGCGGAGAAGGGTGAGCTGGGTGATGCTCTGTACAATTCTCGTCTTGTGCGAAGGAAAGGCGACCCGCTCCGGTTCAAGATCGTTCTCGGTCTCGCCGAAGGCCTGCAGTATTTGCATTCGTATCATGTCATTCATAGGGATATCAAACCTGCTAATATTCTGCTCGATGACAACTATGAGCCCATGCTCACCGACTTTGGTTTCAGCCGCTTCATCGATGAGGACTCCGCCGACAAGATGACTGGCGAGACGGGATCTTATCGATACATGGCCCCAGAGGTTACGTGCCATAGCCACTACACAGAGAAGGCAGATACCTATAGTTTTGCGCTTATCTGCAACGAAATTTTCACTGACGAACGGCCATTCGAATATCAGATTGCGGCGGTGGTCGCGGTGGATGTCGTGAAGAAAAATTTGCGACCATCGCAGAAGAAGATAAAAAATGAGCGGCTTAGGGACATCATTGCGCGATGCTGGGACGCCAATCCGGACCTGCGACCGGAATGGGCAGAAGTTATTTCAGAGCTCAAGCTTGCACAACAGGAAATGGAACAGAAGAGGGGACCTTCAATCGGCTCATTATTCCGAAAAAAGGTACACGGCAGTAGCGCTTCAGCATCGTAACGGAGTACTCAAGTGTGTTGGATCGACGGCGGAAGCGTCACGGTTTGGAGTTTTTCGCATTCGGATGGGTTTGGTGATTGTGGAGCGTTGACAATGAGTGAGATAGTTTTGTGTGGTTGGATTCGTATTTGAGATTCCATTTAAATCTATACGTAGCTTCCAGACAATTAACATGTAACGTATCATCTATGAAAAGTCTGGGCCGCAAACGTTGTACATAGCATGTAATGCATGAATGCAACACTGGGGACTGTTGTAAAAGAATTATACAAGACGTCTGAACTTGCTTGAAAGCCGGGGTTTCAATTGGAGGGCGCCAGTGCCACCGTAACATGAAAGCAAAACATTGCGACTTATCAAAAACGTAAAAGCGGCAATATCTCTTGACGTTCTCTGCTGAACAGACCGTTCTCTGCTGAACAGACCAAAAGCCATAGGCAAGGGCTGCATAAGAACAGTTACATGGTGATCGTCATGTCGCTGTTGACGGAAGCCTTGGGGTTTTGGTAGTGTACAGCAATGCTTACAGAAGCTGCAGCGCTGCAAAGTGGACGTAAAGAATACGCTAGAGAGAACCCGAAAACTGGGGGCAGTTTTCCACGAGTTTCACATCCGCCTGATCACAGCACTGCCGGATCGACTCGTCTTGAAGGAAAACGATGTGGGTTTTCTGTTCTATTCATCAGCACAAACGAGTCTCAGACTGCACGGGTTATATCGATATGCGTCATGGACGCCCCTATCGCTTCATCTGCGCAGAGTCCATCAACGGATCAAAGCGTGACAGAATCTGCCACTGATGCCGCCGAAGCAACCGCGAAAGATAGAAAAGTAGAAGCTTCTTAAAAGCGGTCCTCTCCAAACGGCCGCCCTCAGGCTGTTGACAGCCTTGACATCAAGAAGACGAAACACATCGCCCTTTCGACTGAGAACCTTTCTATCCTTGTGGCGAGCTATAATATTCGCTTCAGCGAGTATTCGCGCAGGTGCACGTGATCCGTCGGGCGGCACAACGATGTAAAGCTTTAGTGTACTGTACCCTTGTAACTCTCTGCGTTCGTTTGTTGCGGGCAGGCACGCTGCCGGAGGTCAGTCCGCAATACCCGTGGCGGAATTTTTCAATCTCGGGTTTAGTTTACGTCCAGCGATTTTGTGGGCAAATGAAACAAAACAGATCTTAATGTAATGCCGCTTGGTGTACGGTAGGGTACTGTGCAAGGCAGCAGGTGGAGCCATTTGCTTCATACTGTATAAGACATGATTGGCATGTGATGCATTCAATGTCTGCGGTGTAATGGTGGGGGTCCTCCTTCAAAGAATGGGTAATTTATCAGTTATATTTTGGTCGGTCACCCGCTACGGCATGATCATGAGTGCAACTCGACGCCCACATTGGGCCCTCTCTTGTCCAAGGGAAGAGCTTTTTTGCCATGTGACTTCCTTCGTTCTTGAACTAGTCCCCCAACACAACTTCTCCGTTTAGAGCTGGACCGTCCACTGCCGTTCACGTTTGAGTTGAAACAGCGGTTAAAGCTCCATAGCTTCCTTGTTTCGCCCGAACAATTGAGACTGCCGGCGCTTGGTCAAGCTCGACATGGTATCATGGATCCGCGTCTGTAGTTCGATCGCTTTGTTTCTTCTCTCGCTGTCCTCGTTCCCTTCTACAGGCACCGCAGAACCGTACAAGTATCTTTCGTACGGTCAGATCTATTGGAGGCTTACCGAACTTGCGGCTAAGTACCCCAAGCTCTTGCGGTTGTACTCTGCTCAACAGACTTTCCTACTTCCTCATGTGGGTAACTGCACCCAATTGGAGTCTGCAACTGATGAGGTGGGGACAAATGCTCCGTGCACAATATGGGTGGTCGAGCTCTCCAACTTAGAGACGCTGCCCTCAGAACCAGAACGCCCGGAAATGATGGTCAGTGGCACTCTTCACGGGAACGAAGTAATTGGGCCTCACGCCGTGCTTGCGTTTCTAGAGCACATGGTTTCTAACTATGAATCAGATCCCCACATAAAACGCATGGTTGACACACGTCTCGTGGTTGCGACCCCAATGACGAACGCCATCGGCTTTTCGCTGGAGCGAAGATCAGAAATTCACAGTATGGAGAATGGCACCGAGACTTCCGTTGATCCTAATCGAGATTTCGGATTTGACCAAGATCCCACTAAATGCATGCGCACTGTGGCTGCTCGGACTTTGAACGAACTCTTCAGAACGCATTTATTTCGGGTCCTTATCACCTTCCATGGTGGCACCAACGTCATCGGGTATGAATGGGGCGATACGCAGCATTGCACGGGTCCAATGTGCAAGCCAGCGCCGGACACAGCAATCATGCGTGCACTCGGTGAGCGAATGTCGAATGTAGCGGGGCCTGCTGGCCGGTATGAGGCGGCCTATCCAGTTGGAGACATGGGGAGATTGGTGTATCCCGTGAAGGGAGGACTTGAGGATTGGGCGTACGGTGCGAGTTGGTCAGGTCAGGGCGTCGAGTGTCGCCCCGATACTCTCGGGGGATATCCCAAGGAGAAGGTCAAACTTGACAGACGCACACAACGTTGTGTCACGTATCTTGTGGAGACTGCACGGGAGAAAAAGCCCAGCGAGCATATGTTGGGCTCTTCAGAAGCCATCTTGCAGAGGGGAAGTGATGGTGACGGCCACGTTCCGCGTAATGTTCGACTTCTTCTAAGCACCGTTGATGCTTTAGAGCCGTACATCTTACTTGATGCCAAAGCGTCGACCAATGAACACAACAAACCGATAGTGTCCTGGATGGTAGGGGGAGCGTTTGCTGTGGACGCATGCGCCGTCCAGTGGAGGACGGAAAGTGGAGAACAGCATGACATCAGTGATGTGCAGAATGGGACTATGCTGTCATCGTCTCCAGTGCAGTACTCGCTGAAGTTTAGTCACGCCCTAATGGGACCTTTTCCGTCTAAGTCAACCCACGTGTTTGTCAGAGTTGCAGCAGTTCTTGATCATCAATATGCGCTACAACCGAATGATAGCGACCCCAATGTAACGCCACAAGGACACTTAATGGGGTCTCGTGCTAGCCCGCAATGGTCTTTTAGCACAGCAGATCACAAGATTGAAGGGCGACAAGTCTTTTTTTCGAAAACAATGAGATTAGAAATGTCTGGGTCACACACTTTTGCAATGACAGATGCCGATGATGTCGAATGGTCAGGGGAGAACGCAGGAGCTTATTCTATGTCAGATGATGAGCTATTTAAGCATTTATATACGGGAGAGGGTCCCGCTGTCCTTGATGCGAACGGAGGACTTAGTGTCCCCTTGACGATATTGACAGCTGCCTTAGGCATACTTGTGATCATCGCCATGGCCGTGGGAATATTCATTTTTGTACGACGTAAGAGGCCCAATCGCTTCCGGAGTAGAGCTCATAATTCCTTCTCAATCGATGACGATGAGGACGAAGAAAGAAAGGAGCTTACATCTTCAGGAGAGGCAATAGATATAGATGAGGAGGCAGGAGAAGTGGTTGCTGCATCCGCCTTACGAGTGCAACCTCTGGGGTACTGAGATAACTCCAGGCTGCAGAGTTTATCACAGCAAAAATTGCTTGCATGACTACACACCTCATTGTATAAAATATATATTTCAAGGCATATCTCTACTGCTTTCGGGTCAGGGATCGCGTTTCGTTCAGAACCGTGCGAACCTGGACAAGACTTGATACTAAAGCGGATGCCTAGAGAATCATAGTCCTGACGATGTTTTACAGCTTCAACCGTGCCCAGCCGACGCCCGGCGTAGGTGGACCCTTACTCAGTCCCAGAAGAAGCGTCTACTCTGCCTCTTTACAATTTCTCATGCCTTCGGTACTGGTACTTCGCTGCAAAATCTGCCTGTTCCTGAATTGAAGCCCGCAAGTAATGAGATCACTGTATAATATTGTACAAGACACCCTGCGAGGGAAGAACAGAACTTGTCAGTTCAGCACTGCCTCTTCAGTGTCCTGATTGCCTGACCCACTAGTCTCGGCAAGATATCGCTCCAAAGCCCCTCGCCCGCGCAAGACTGTCGTGCATACACGTTCCCCAGGCGCGTCTTCATCTTCTGCGACGACAATTGCCGCCGACATGCCGTCCATGTCGGGCAGTTCGTACATAGCATCATTGAGAGTCCGTTCCATAAGGGAGCGCAGCCCCCGTGCACCAGTTCCCTTTTCTAGTGCCTGTCGAGCGATGATGGACAGCGCAGGGTCCGTGACATGAAGCTCTGCATTGTTCATTCCTACCAGCTGTTTGAACTGCTTGACAATAGCATTCTTTGGTTGTGTCAGAATCTGAATTAGCTCTTGCATGTTCAACGCGTGAAGATTGACGACAATTGGCAGTCGCCCGATAAGCTCCCCAATAAGGCCGAAGCTGGCAAGATCCTCACTCTCAATATGGTCGAGAATGGACGAGCTAATTGGCCCATCTCTTCCCTCTGCCCTGACGTTTGCGCCAAAACCAATGCTGCTTGCTGACATCCGGTCTGCCACGATGCGTTCCAGCCCAGGGAAAGCGCCACCACAAATGAAAAGTATATTCGTCGTGTCCACGTGAATGACATCTCCACGAGGGTTTTTCCTTCCGCCGCCACGCTCTGGCACTCCAACTACTGAGCCTTCCAAAATCTTGAGCAAAGCTTGTTGAACTCCAACACCAGACACATCTCTCGTAATTGACACGCTCTCGCTCTTCTTTGCGCATTTGTCTATCTCATCTATAAACACAACACCGCGCTCTGCTAAGGAAACGTTGAAGTTGGCCGCCATGAGCAGCTTGTACAAAATAGACTCCACGTCATCACCGACATAGCCACTTTGAGTAAGCGACGTTGCATCCGCGATAACGAAGGGAACGTTGATACGTCGGGCGAGTGTCTTTGCCAGATGTGTCTTACCCACTCCTGTGTTTCCGATGAGCAAAATGTTACTCTTCTCTAGCTCCACGGCATCCTTTTCACTGCCTTTCGCAAAAACACCCACGGACCCGCTGAACGAGAGTATATTGCTCGTTTTTGCCGCCGAGGCAGCACCACCCGTGAACACTTCTGGTAACGTTGTCTGAGTATCCCGGGGCATCAGCTGGGTGGGCAAGGCAGCCGTGTCGCGAGCGCCCTCCCTCGACCCGAGAAGCTCCGCCGCCTCCTGGAGCCTAGAAATACGTTCTTCCTTGATCGGCGGCGGTCCGTACCAAGTACTCTCATCGACTTTGCCATTCCTTCGCTTTTCCTCATCCTCCTTTCTTGCGGCCTCTGCTCGGACTGTGCCAGGGGGGTCTGCTGCGGCTGCTTCTTGACTTGCGCGGAGAAGAGCGGCCGCAGCAGCAGCTTCGTTTGCTGCCACGCGTTTGTAGTGGTTGTAAACGGCGACCGAGAGGACCTTTTTCGCCTTGTCCTGTCCGACGACGTACTCGTCCAAACCAGCGTGAATGGCGGACGGTCGAGGAATAGAGCGGACTAGCTTCTGTAGCGCTGCGGTATCAGACCCCCCGCTGGCCACCACGGATGTGACAGATGCGCTTCCAACACCGGTACCAGGACGTGAGATGGTTGCGAAGGCACGGGATTGCCGGAAAACGGTGACGGCATGGGCATTGCGAGACATGGTCCTAGAGGAAAGATTCTTGAGGGCTGGAGAAAGGACTTCGTCGTGGTGATGGTACAGCGGTGCCGAATGACTTGTGAGAGTTTATGAATTGCCCTGAATGACGCAGGGTATTTGGGAAACACGCCGCCTGTGCTGGGAGGGATGGGGTTGTACGGCTTGGGACGGGATGAAGTGGTTGGTGAGAAAGAGTTGTGCCATGGACTCTGAGGCTGCGGAGCACGGAAAAGGACTACAGCAGATTCGTAGAGAGGAGTGGTTTGTGAGCACTTTGGACGAAGGAGGCAAACCGTCTCGGTGAGCTGGAAGCGGCTTTAGCGTTGGAAGATTGTATGTCAGATTATCATGTCATACATGGCATGTTTTGTACACGTACTGCCCAAGGAGATATTTTATACACGTGGAATGTGTGTTGCATAATAGCTGGGACACTTGGCCCAAAATACGGCGACCCAGAATGCGCGTTTCTTATACAGGGGGGGGTCGCGATATAGTGCCATATTTGTTAGTGCCAGCTCCGATATAGTGCCACCCTTCTGCGGGTGGCACGAATTTTGAGCCAAAAACGAAGGGTCTCCAGGGAGGCAGTTGGATGGACATGTGTGTACTGCCCGAGAGCCGCTGCCGCCGCGGAAAGATATTATGCAGTTGCCAACTCGAATAGAGACTATGGCGGAAAAAGGCAGGGTCGATGATGCAATTGGACATCTCCAAAAGTGTAGGCTGGCATTTATGGCTGCGAAAAAGGAGGAAGTCAATGCAACGGCTCGGCAGCTACTACTAACAGAAATGCTTGATTAGACTTGAGTCTGTAGTGAAGATACAAAGCATGAGTGATGGCGTCCTGCGAGCGGTCTTTCTGAGCAGTGATGCAAGGAAGGATGTGGTTGCAAAAAAGCCGTAAATCTCATTATCTAACAGTGCCTGGTTCGATATAGTGCCGTTTTCGGCCCACTGACACAGGGTAGCACTATATCGCGACCCCCTTGTACTTGGAATGGAACCATTTCAGGTCCCTTTTTTTTTGCACCAACATCATGTTCACAAACAGGCTCGCCCTTACAGTAGGTTGGCACAGCAACCTCAGAGCTCGATCTACCTAAGGGTACTGTAGTAGTCAGGCCTTTTTATCGTCGTGCAGTTGTAATTGCTTTGACCCCGTAAGCTTACAAAGTTCTTCAGTGGCTTGGAATTAAATTCACGCGTGGGCCACTTTCATAGTGACACAGGCTTCGATATGATGCGATGAAAGGGAATATAGTGTCTATATTCATTCAACAGCTTCCAAAATGAATAAAATTCTCCTCAATTTGTAGCTTGGGGAGTCCTACCTAGACTCTTATGCTTGTTGACGTGTTTGGGCAAGCAAACTACGATATTCGTGTTTGATTTAGTGCCAAGAGACTGTGCGGCAAGGCAGACTCGGTCCAAAGTAGGAATGCTGGATGCTGGACTTTTGCGAACAGTCGATTTTACATGGATTATAACCTTCCTGCAAGAGCTGGGAACTCACGCCATCATCCACGTGAACAACACGTGCTCCTTGAGACCGTGTGAGGACAAAGAGATAGTCGACCGTGATGCAATGTCAGAGGCGAATCAGTAGAAACAGGACACTTCGAATGCGGGGTTAATAATAACTCATTACTTCAATCCTCTTATTGCGCTTTTTAACGAACGGTATAACATATGTTCAACAAACCACCGACATGTGCTGCTTAAGGCTAAAGAGAGGGGGAAACCACACACACACACACACACACACACATACACACACACACACACACACACACACACACACACACATACTCTCTCTCTGAAAAAATACATGTCAACGTGTATTTCAAATAAGCCATGAAGCCTTTAAGGTTTCCTTCGGAGCTCTTCAATAAGGAGGAGGCGGGTTTTTAGAGAAGAAAACAGCCGTCGTCATCGCTTTCACATTTCTTGTTGTTAATGATTCAATGGGAAAAAAGGGGCAAGATATTCTACTCTCCTCCTAACGCGGAGTCACGAGTGGCTTAAGTTCATTTGAAGCTCGATGAGAATATATTATTTTCGATGTAGCAATTGTCTGTACAACTTTCCTGGACAACTTTCCAGAGAACATGCCATCTGGAAAGGACAAGATCAAATGGAAATCGCAATGATGTCATTACTTTACAGGTAACAGGATACAGGGTGCATTACAAACTTTCCGGTCATGAAAAGAGGACTCTCCCTCAAGAGAAAAATGAAAGCAATTGCACTCGCGTTCCTGATGCATTAGCTGGAAGAACCGTTCTTCTGACGGACATTAGGAGACTGCACAACGTCTCCTTGTACATCACAACTCGAATGCAGTTTTGACACAGCGGCCGGGCGAGAGAAAGCATCGCACAGATACATTTGTTTTGCTGCGTCAGAGGAAACCGTAGAAAAAGTGAAGAGAAAGTGAAGAGAAAGTGAAGAGAAAGTGAAGAGAAAGTGAAGAGAAAGTGAGGCCAGGCCGGCGATGAGTGTCCGGCTTTTGAATTTATTGCAACTCCTCTTTTGACTCTCTGAAGTCACTTTTATTGTTTATAACATGCTGCACGCACAACATATAATCCACAAGTTGCCTCGTAGCCCAAATGCGAAAGCAAATCGAGGTTGAAAACAAAATTGCATGGAGTCTAGTGCATGATGCGTCAGTCTCGGGCAGCTTGACTATATAATATGTGTATACAGTATATCGAAAACAGGAAGATAGCAACTTTGCTAAAACTTGTTCGGAAGAAAGTGATCGCTTTTGAATCTACCTTGAATCTATTTGATTGGCCTCAAGCCAGAGCAAACGATTTGTGCTCTTTTTTCTACTCCAGAGTGTGTTGCAATTCCAGGAAACTTGGATGAACTTCTGCAGCAACTTTTCGAAGAGCGGACTTGTCAAAGTGTCGTAGAGTAGCCGTCCCAATGCGAAATCATGTTGATTGATACTCACAGTACCGTTACTGTAACGATTTAAAGATCTTCCTTGCTCGCCGAAGCGAAACATCGCGAAGGTTGTCAAACCAGCGTGTGATCAGCGGAGGCGGAAAGAGGCGAGACAGTATCAACGGCGCATGACGGTCTTTCTTTGAATGCTACTTAAGGGGCGCACCGCGCGTGCGTCTTCGTGATCTGTTTTCACGGTGTTGCCGATTTCGGTTAGGCGGCCCATCGAGGGGCTGAGCGGATCGCGATCTTGCTCACCGACGGCCCTGGGATGCCTCGAACACCACCGGCAATTGCGAAAATCGAAGCGAAAGACTCGTAGCGCTAGGATCTGTACTTATTCGCTCTTTCGTCGTAAAGGCAGCACCATCGGAACAGATTAGAGAATCCTCAAAACCCCGCTTGGTGCCGGTGCCCTTCATACTTTGCCGCTACACACACGACCGCTTCCATTCACCGACTTGCGTCTAAACCCTTTTATTGCCACGCTAACGTTGCGGATCTCAGGCCAGGCAGGCCGTTATTTTTCTTCATATGTTGATTGATAGGGCCCAGACTTTTTTGCGTGGTGACCAGAAACGTGGGCGTCCATAAAACAAGTTGCTTCTCTGTATTCGTTCTCATTAGCTCGCAGCAGCGCTGGCAGGGTGTAACTTATTTCTTTCGTTATACTTGCACCCTCGCAGTCCCATCTGGACTCATCCAAAAAGGAGATAAAAATGTTTGGCCCCGTGGAGATTTCACAAAAAACCTTGCAGTGCCTTTACTGAGTTTGTATCATTGGAAGAAGCTTTCGGAGAAGCCCTGTGCTCAGAAATATCAGATGCATCAAAAACAATGCAGATTAGTCGAAAAACTAATGAGGAGACGAATTTCGAAATCCCCCGTCTCCTCATTAGTTTAATTAGTTGCTAATAGCAGGATTGTAGGGCCGCATGCACGGCATCACACTGGGTACGACATACTACAGCTCATCCGCTTGACCTAGCAAACATCGATGACCTTTTCCTCTTCGTTGGGCGATCCCACTGCGAAGCAAGATGCACCATCTTGCTTCATGTAATCATGGAAAATACTCGAGTTGCGAAAGGAAGGGGAATGACCTTCGAGCCTCTGATTAATGGAGGACGGCGGACGACTGCATGTCCAAAGGTAATATGTATCAACTAGATGTACAGTCATTCTCTTCAAGTTACTATCCTTAGTGGTGCGTGGAGGAATGAATGCACTGTATCCAGTTCGGCAATATTCCAAGAACAACTCGGGTTTTGGTACATTGCCCGCACCAGACTTTTTGATCTCCGTGTTTACCACCAACAAATGCCCCCTTACCCCACTGTCAGCCTCCCGCTCCCAGCGCGATACCAAGGGCGGAAGATCTTTCCAATCGCTGTGAGGAACCTGTGCGCTGTTAGCCTTTCGGTGTCCAAGCAGATAGGCCAACCGCATAAATATCTCCTGTGTTTCTGACGTTGGCTCTCTCAGCCCTAGTGAAAGCGCCCTTTCGGTCCTAACGCGAAAGCAACATCCCCAACTAGTGCAAATGCAAGCGGCCGCCAGACCGTTTTGCAGGCCTTTATTCACTTCAAGCAAACGCACGAACGTAACGCGGTTGCGCACCCTAACCGACGGTTTCCCGTCTTTATGATACCCTGCGCCACAGCGTGAACCAATCTCCCGCTCCCACGTGTTTTTCTCGCACAGATCACCGGTCTCGTGCCTCCACTGCAATCTCGCTGAGCATCGTAGCGGATCCCCACTATCCAGTAAAAGCTCTGCTGCAAATAATCAACCAATTATATGCTTTCTAGCAGATATTCACGACCTCCTCCCTACCAGATTCCACCCCCTGCCCAACCGCCACCCGCCTCTGCGAACCCCCCTCGATCTGTGCAAACGGCCGGGCCCCGAAACAGCCAGATTGTGTACCTACCGAGCTGCGGCATAAACGGAATTGTAGCTGCCTTTGCTCCAAACACTACATGGTGGTGGAGCCTGCCTTCTCTCCTCTCTCCTCACACAGTATTTAAACAGGCACGACAAAGGCAGGTACCCCCACTCTACCCCTCCCCACCCTACCCCTCCCCACCCTCCCCATCCTCCCACTCCTCACTACACTTTTGACTCAACCACCACTTCACTCATCGCTGCCATCCCTAACCGCATTCATTATGGAGGACTTTGACGAGCCAGCCGACATGCAAAACTTCTTGGCTCGCTATCACGAGGCACGAGCGGCTTCGCGCTCGGCGCCGACGACCCCCAAACAGACGACGGCTTCTCCGCCGTCGCCTCCTTCTCCGCGCTCTCCCTCCTTGGCAAAGCTCACCCCGTCCCGCAAGGATGCGGCCCGATCTATCTGGGGATCAGTCTTCCACCCTCTCGGGAAGTCGCCTACATCCGCAGACCGCTATGATTTGTCGCCGGGGCAGACGAGCACCCCTGGCATGAGCGCTTCAGAGGTACATGCGAAGGGCACAGGGATCTCGCTGGACGCGAAAAATGATGATTGAGTGGCTAGTTTGAAAGTTTGCTGGAGGATGTTGTAAAAATATATGCCTGGAGTGTGTTGTTTGCTGCGAATGGATTGATCTTCGTTTGTACAAGAGGTGTGCCGAGAGAGTATTCCAATAAATCATGTGTTTGTTGGTTAGTGAATAATATTCCTGTCCCTGTCGTCCTACATTAGCCCTGCTGCGTACAATAACGTCCGGCACTCGCTGCCGCTAGCACTCGCTCCTTCAGCAACAGAATAGTCACTTTCCACCACGGGCCAGCCGAAAGCCACAGCTCCCGTAGTTGCGGCTGCGTCGAGAAACAATCTGGCCCCTGATGCGACGTCCCGATCGCCTTTTCCTGCGAGTTCCCCCGCAACCCGAATACCTGCCGCCACACCGCCGTCTGCTTCGCAAAAGATGAAGCGCCGTTCGCGCACCGACAAGTTGCACTTAATGACCTCGTCTTTGCTGCGAAGCTCCTCACCGAAAGCGCGCCCCCGCGCCACGATGCGCCGGTCTGTGTCCGTTAGCGCTTGCGTCTGCGCAGCGCTAAGCATTACATCGTCCGTAGTAGAGCGAATGCTGCTGTCACGCGGTGGGGCTTTCCATTCGGTTGCCTCGAAGACGGCCGTCGAGGGAAAGCTGTAGTCCTCGATATCAACATCCGTGACGTTTTCGTTGGCGATTCGATCGCCAAACTCGTCATATTCGCACATCGCGACAGAGGTGTCTTCGCTGCTTCGCTCGGCATCAGAGAGCTGAAAGTTGGATGTCTTGAAAATGGGGGCCACCTTGGAGATGCCCGTCCCGTTTACATGGGGAATCGCATCGTTGGCGGGAATGGCACTTCTTGAAAGGCCCGTCTTCTTCACTTTTTTGTTGATCGTCAGTGTCTGCATTGCTTCCCAAAAGCATCGCAATACGACTTCGGTGTGGAGCACCGCGATCCCACGTTCGACCACCTCCTCCCGCAAGATGCGGCAGCCGCTTCGCATCCTGCCGACGGCTTCAATGACAGCGCGTTGATGCGACGCTGATGCCCCGTGGTCGCAGAGGGCAGCTCGAAGCTTCAAGATCGAAACTGACTCTTGTGAAAACGAAGACGAGTGCGACGTCACTCCAGTCGGTTTCCATTCTTCCTCGGTATTTGTGCAGTTTTCAAGCTCGGCAATTACAACCTTCGCGTTTACTACCAGGCGAACGACGGCGTTCCACTCGCTCTCGTCGAGTAATCGTACAGGTTTCTCCCTCGCCAAGTGGTTTGACTTGTCGTACATGCGCGAGAGACATGTCGTCGTCAAATCTGGTCGCCTGCGGATGGTTCGCAACGCCTTTGCGTTCCATGTTTGCGATCGCCGCAGTCCGTTTCGGCGAGATGAACTGCTCGCCCCATGGGCATCTAGCTTTTGGCTCTCTTCGGTTGGGTGAGCGGCCGTCCGGATTTCCTTGAGCAACGGACCTGCATCAGTCCAGCTCTCGGCTAGATTGAGCGCATATATAGCGCGTTCAGAAAACGGCTTGATCACGTCGCTGTTCACAACTTCCCCGAGCCGTCTCGCAACGGTTGGTACCGCAATGCACAGAGACAAGCAGTTTCCGATCACATCTAACAACACTTGCGTCTGTGACATGGCGGGTAAGGCGTAGCGCGACGCCGCACCTGCGACCTGCGTATGCTCGCGTATTTTTCCTAGCGATGGGGGCTGGAGCAAGGTGCCCGCACGGTTTCCAAAGGCATTGCCCATATACGCCCGCACATCATTTCGTGCTGCCTTAACAAAGACATCCACCGCCTTGCTTACGAAAGCCGGCAGAATAGCGTACTCCGCTTCCACACCAGGCCCCGATAGCACGCTAGCCACATCATCCGGTTGCTGCCACGCATGTAACAAGCGCCCGCTATTCCCAATAAACTGCTGCAACGGAGCATACACGACCTCCAGGTTGTAGATGCTCGGCGACAAGGCCGTGACATGCGCGACCAGAGCTTCAAACGAGTCCTGATATGCTGATCCGCGCTCAAAGGCCCAGGCATACGTCCTGTACCCCCTATGCCCGGAAGCGGACGGCGGGCCAGAGCGGTGTGGCAGAAGTGAGAGCCCGCTTGCCGCGACGACGCGGGCTTGGTCGTCCTCCAGGTCCTCAGCATCGGACGACTCCGGAAGAGCGAGCAATGCGTGCGCGAAGCGGACGAGCAGGCCCTGCGCGACAGCCCAAGCCTCGCTGACGGCACGGTCCATGCCCGTGGCGTCTTGGGTGACGGCGGCGGCTAGAGCCGCCAGGCGACGCAAGACGCCAGTTAGGATGGCGACGACGCGCTCAAACACGGCTTGACAGACGGCCCGTTGCGCGTTGTGCTCGTCGCGGGCGAACAGGCCAATTGGGCGAGCGAAGGCCGCGGGGGCATGCATGGGGGCGGTGGAAGACGCAGTCGGACGGGCGGAGCAGGCCGAGGCCGTCGCGGGGGTAGCGGCGGAGGCGGTGAACGAGGAGCTTGCGAGGCTCGGGACGGTGGGCGGGGGCGGCGGCCGTTCTGCGAGGACGGCATGTCGAATGGCGGTGGCGAGGCTGTGCGGGGCTGCATCGGCGAGTAGACGTGCGGAATGGCCAGGGCCGGAGAGGGTGTCTGCGGCGAGGACGAGGGCGGGATCTGGGGTTTGAGAGAGGGGTGGGGAGGGCGTGCGGAGGGAGGGGGCGGAGAGGGAGATGCCTTCGTCGTCTTCGGGGTCGGAGACGGGCTGGAGACGGAGACGGTTGGGGGTAAAGACAGCGTTGCGGAGGGCGTCGTCGAGCTCCTGGCGCAGGGAATTATGGCGTGCGATGAGCTCTGCGCGGGGCTTGTCGAGGGCGGGGATGGCGACGAGTGCCGGCAGGGCGGCTGCGTCGCGCGCATCGCGGAGACGACGGGCGCGGGGGAGGAGCGGCAGGGGGTGCGGGGGCGGGGAGGCGAGGGTGAGGAAGGTGCGGATGGAGGCTAGAAGGGATAGCTTGGAGGTTAGTTGAGTGGACAGGATGAGAGAGTCGGAGAGGGGGGTTGGGAAGTCGGTCGTGAGCGGGGAAGGGGAAGGGGAGAGCTGGGTGGCGGAGAGGGCGTGGTGAAGGGAGGTGAGCGAGGGGACGAGGGAGGG